TGTTGTTACAAATTGTCTCAACCTTTCTTCTTTCTTCACACTAAGTGGTTCTTCACTGTTTATAACAATAGGTGCCTTTGTACCATCGTTCAAAGCATCACCTTTGTCTACAGTCCACAGTCTATGCTAAACACTATGGAATCTTGTTTGCACGCGTTATCTGGGACCCATTAGCACCCCATTAGCACCCATTTACATGCTACCTTATCTTTCTCTTTCTTTTGCGGACGTATTAAGGAGAAGACTACTAATAATATCACCGTGTAAAGTTTACGCTTGTAAGGACATGAAATGAGTAAATCCAGGTTGTCAAAATGTTTTTGTTATTATAAAAACTTACGTTACATTTGTAGGGTGACCAACGATTCGAATTAAAATAACCTCGTTATACGTCTATCACTATATGCTTACAAAGTATTTTCTTTCGTACTTTACATTTTCTGAGAACGCTTCCCCTTAAGATGTTTGTATTTTGGCTACTTTAGCTACCGGTTTAAAGTAACATGCTGATTTAAGAGGTACTAGCTAAAAAGCTACTGCTAATCATTTTCACGATAAGGAAACGTTTTAAAACAAACAACTGAAGGTAAACATATCTAAATGTACAACTAAGATATACTCGAAAAAGTAGAAAGGATACAGTCACTTTCTTAAACGACGATGATGATTTTTACTTCCGTGATAAGGCTGACCTCAAATGGAAAAATTTAATAATACATCACCTTATCCATAAATAGCAGGAAGCACATGCCGATCAGGTAAACCGACGACACAATAAAAGGTAAAAAAAATACAACGGTAATAAATTTCCAACAACCAATAAAACAATGTAAAATAAAGCAATTGAAACCGCAACAGACAGCACAACAAACATTACATAAGAATGAAATGATCTTGCGTCTGCTCCGGTCTCAAGGGCGCAAAGCGTCAATATAAACATTGAGTCATATCATGGTGAACTTGTTAATGCCTTGACCGTGTGAGAATAGTGCAAGTTTCACTTATTTTACGATCGAGTAACGATGTTTGATCTGCGTGCCATTTCGATTTTTGTATCTTTAAATATGTTATTTAATCATTTGTTTGCAATATGGGTTTTATCAAAGTCCAGTTTACCAAAAACAACTGCTTTTGTAGATTTGCCCTAATTCTATTCTCGCTCGTCATTTCCTTCTTCATCATTATTAGTTGTTGGTGCAATGACTGCAATGCAATTTATATTAGTGATCAAGGGTTAAGGTTTCTAATTAAAGGTCCAATAACTAATATCCTCTCTAGCCAAATGTAAAAAATGTTAGAAATATCATTTCTATAGTCAGCAAGCATTTCCATCGGCTTTCATTACAATTTCAAAATTCAATTGCGCCTTAACAATTTCTTCGGTAATTAGTATTAGAACAAACGCCATGTGATTAATTCTGATCAAAACAATGTGTATGCAAACAATGCCAAGTTAAATGAGTGTGAAATAGTGCATAAGTAATAACAGTTTGCTATTATAACCCGGTACCATAGTTACTAGTTTTTGTGGGGTTGTTTCATTGCCACGCTTTATTTAAGTTGTGGATTTCTCTTCTGTATTCTAACTTGTATGCTTATCACTTTACTTCTTTGCTGAAGTGTCGTTTGTGTCTTGTCAATACTGTTCACCCAATCCTTGTCCATTGTAATAAATGCCAGTTAATTCAATGTGAATAAAATGCTTGCTTGGATTTGACACATCCTTAGATTAACTAACAATAAAATCGCGAGTTACTCACGTAAATATACTGAGAAAAGCTCTACTAGTTACGCGCAGCCTACTGCGCGAAATCGCCGCTGCTCATAAGGAAGAACCCCTCTATGGTTCGAAACTAGTAGAGCTTTTCTCAGTATATTCGCGTAAGTAACCCGGGATATTTTGTTAGTTAATTTAGTATGTCTCACAATAGTTATTATAAAAAACAAAAACAGATCCTTTGATATAATACAGTCCCGTGCATTGAGTTCAACTCATACTTGTATTTTTTTAAAACTTAATTAAAAACTAAATGAATTATCGATGAGTTTAGAATTATTTTTTCCTAAGTTTCGATAAGCTAGTACGACATGCAACACTCGACCTAATTTATGCAGATTTGAAACAAATACGTGCCAGTATGTTTGCAAGCGTGTCTCTTTACATAATAGCACCATTCCAGACACTGTTTGCTTGCCAATTCATATGAATACGAGATATAAGTAAACAATATTTTGTTTTGTCAGCAATAGAAAATTATCTGGTACTATGCCCAATGATTTGCACTGCCCTAATATGGTACATCACCCATCTTACTATATTGCAATTCCGATTACCTTTTAAAGTAACAGGATTTTAATGTAGGTAATCCGAATTCATTTTTAAATCATGACTCATAGATTACCAGGAGGGGTCTTATTACACTAGTTATGGCAAGCCACGGGCAGCAACTAAAGTACCCTCTTCATCAACCATTAGAATAGACTGCTAGTCTAGTCGACATTTAACCACGCATTTCTCCAAATAATAGGTTCATTCAGAAACATAAATCTTTGATATACAATTCTGGAACAGCAATAATAGCAAATCTAGGTCCATTTTCGCTATCAAGTTCCCGGCTTTTGTGATAACGTATACAACACTAACTCGAAACCGAGAACAGGGAACAATGTGGGCGGTGACCCTATTAAATTGCGGATATGCGGAATTTATATGGTAATGCAGTTCATGCAGTAACCAAGGGCTGCCTGCATAGTTTCAGTAAATGTAATTCATGAAACACGCCTTTTAAATTCGTAGAAGTAGAAGTAGTAAACCCCAGTTATATAGTAAGTCATTTGGACGGAACATGGACGGAGTCCTTACAAGGAGATGAGCATAATGCCAAAATTGTAATGCTAAATTATAACTTAAGATGACGTAATAGCTATTTTTGATACTTTAATCTAACCTTATTCAGTTTGGTGCCTGTTTTGCATCACAGACAATTTAGAAAAAGGATTTTTCTTGAAGAATCCATAGCTTACTACTTTAAGCTTAAGGCAGACCTCAATCTTTCAGAAGCATTCACAAGTCTAAATATAGAAGGTGTTCACAAAGTATACCATATTAGAGAATCTAAACAAATACTCTATTCTGAAATAAATATGTTTAGTAAGGAGATAAATTAGCAACAGTCCGTATATGGCTTGATATTCTATGCGCGTGCGACCCGACCCTGCAGTATAAGGCACAAGGCCGGCAGACACAGTAATATGTAACACCTACGTCATTATGGAAATGCTCCAGATTTTGTTTAAATGACTTTTATGTAAGTTTTATGGAGAAATATTACAGGTTTAGGTCAAGTGTGTCTTGTCGGTCTAGTGACTGAAGTTTCATTATAGGGTCCGATTTCGGATTAGATTTCCTGATTATATGCATTATGCTTACGAATGGGCCGGCTCGACCGGAGTGATACCACGGCCTCACAGAAGACCGACGTGAAACAACGTTGTGTTGTGTTTCGACGTGTGAATGAGGTTACCGGATGCCCAATTACTCCCCTCCCCTCCTCCCTCCCGTTCCCCAATCTCTGAATCCCCAACAATCCTCAAAATCCTAATTCAAAATAGCCGGTAACGCACTTATAATGCTTCTGGTGTTCCAGGTGTCCATGGGCGACGCCGATTGCTTCCCATCAAGTGATCCGTCTTCTTTTTTACCGGCTTATCCTATAAAATAAATAATGATTTAGTGTCTGGAATGGTGCTTGGTATATGGCAGTACATAATGTGATAATAGATAAAAATGATGTGTTTAACACCTACTCTACTTTAATACCTACTAGAAGTTCGTTCAACATTGGACAATAGACACTAATAAAAATATATGTCGAAGAGAAAAAAGAGAGAACCCAATGAACTATAGTAAAGTTCATTTGTAACTTATTACTGGGCGTCAGTTTGCTAAAGAATCACCGGATGTCGGCGCAGCGATCAAGGACAAATTACTTGATTGAAGAGGAAAGGCTTATGTCATACTTATTTCGACCGTGCAAAATACTTGCACAAATGTTTTTAAGTAATGTATCGTGAAGGTGTTTATACGCGTGCTTGTATTAGTTATTTTTGTATATTCCTTGAAAATGAGGTATGGTCCACAGACACTTTATCCACAATTTTTCACAGTTGTATTCCATTTTAATGAAGGTCCATCGTAAAACTAAAAATACTTTACTAAACCCGTGGATCAAAACTTGATATCTCCTTCCTACAACCAATACAGACTTAACTTTTCCATTGTTAATTTCACATGAGAGGTAATAAGTATTGTTTAATATAATGGCTTGCTTAAGTCACGCATCGACGCCTTTACCTCATTTGTATGCTACCCGCCTACAGGTGATTAGTTAGTAATTATTAATTAATGATGTTGGCTGACTGCCAATCTCGAGCTTGACAAGTCCAGCTAAACATGATCTCGATTTGAATGATCTTTTCGCACATTTAACATTTCAGTTTATACTGGTTTTGCATAACTTGGTGTGTGTATACGCGTACCTCGTACCTCGTCTTCTGTTGTATTAAAAACTGTGTCATCAGATTTTAATGTTCCTTTATTTTTCTCGGTTAAGTTTTGTTTTTTGTTTATTTTTTCTTCTCGTGATTTTGTAACCAGCGCTTTATGTTCGAGATATGATTATAATTCACTTCTTAGTGTTTTTTGTGTAAAGTTTTCTTTTTTATTTTAGTTTGTTTTACGTCTTGTTATTGGTTTCTGGCGCTTGTTCTTAATATAATGACCCATTTAGTTTTTTTTTATGATTTCGTTGTCGTCAAATTATGCTCACCTTACAACTTTCTGATCACGATTGGTGTAATAGGTTAGTTCGATACAAAGTGCATCGAATTCTTTCAGTACATAGAACAACTGTACGTTGAATTTTCTTTAGTCTTACTTTTAAACAAAATTACTTCCTCTTACTTTATTTTTTGTTAAAAAATCGTCTCTTTGTTTCCAGATGTGTCTCACGGAATGGATAAGGCTCCGCGACTATAACAGCGGGCGTCCCCGAAAAGTTCTAGGCCGGGAGATCCCACCCTGGGTATGGGAAGCTTACCAAGTCATCGGCGTGTTTTTATTCGGATGCGCCTGTCAGCAGCTCACCACCGATGTGGCCAAGTACACTATAGGAAGATTGAGGCCGCATTTCTTTGATGTAAGTACAATTATTATTTTTACTGCTTCTCTGTTAATCAACAGAATTCTGTATGGTCTTAAAAATAGCATTTCAAAGATAACGTGAAATGTACTGGTACAAACAACAAACAAAAAAGGTTTTTTACGTTGCTATAAAGTTAAAGGCATTCATGAATCTGATTAGAATTTTCGCAATTCATATAATTTAGCTTTATATGAAGTCCTAACGTGTCAACAAACTATGTGTTTTTATTTATACATGTCGAATAATTTCAGAGACTTGCGTCGCTCCCTAAGTAACATAAAATTAGAGTTTAGACTTGCTCAGAACGTATTCATTCGGCACGGCACAGTGACAAATTGCTGTACACTAATCGTTATTAGCGTGAATAGCTCTTTTCTGTGTTATTAGAATATTAAACCTGTATATTATTATACCTTTAATTTGTGCACTCATTTATAATTTCTACGGTTTTTCATCGTAATATTTTGGTAGAGAAAGATCGGTTTGTAATCATGTAGTTACGTCCCCCATAGACTTCTAGATCCCACTGACTCCGGTTCGCAACAACCTGCATCCAGCTGCTCCCTTACTCACGCTTATCAAAAACAAATTTGCTTGAGCAAAGTGTAATTATGCACGAGTTATAAACATTGAGCAGTTGCCATATGATTTGTGTTGTATTTTCATTGTTTTCTGTGATAACGACACGTGTAATATACGCGGTTGTACGTGCAGGACTACACGTACGTTTCTCTAAACAAATATAAGTTGTATAATTTTGTAGGTATAGGTTCAACATCTGCAATCTAAATATTACGATTGAATAACATCTGATTTCTTCAGGTAAATGGCGCGGATAGCAACAGGGTTGGTTTTAGATAGGACTGATCACTTAGAATATAATTTGTACCTCGTACCTACTCTGTTCTTGTGTAATTAAAACTTCATCAACACATTCTTATAATAAAATATATTACACATTGACGAATTTGAAATGTTATACTATTATGTTCTACGAATTCTATCGAAAAAACCTCATACTTACATATATTATAATACGTGACTGCCTCTTTGGCCGAGTAGTCGCAAGTGCGACTGTCGGGGCAAGGGGTCTTCAGTTCGATTCCCGGGTTAGGCATATTACTGGGTTTTTACAAATTCTCAGTAGTAGGACAGAGTCTGGAATGTTGCGCGGTGGCAATATGCTCACCCCCTATTACATGGGACTCATAGCTTACATTTACATTGTATAGTGGCACTAATTGCCGTAATGCCAACCTCTTCGGGGATAGAAGGCGTGATGTTATATTATTAGTATTAAATTAGGGGTTCTCAAAAAAGAGTTCTACCATCAACCGAACCCCAAAACCGTCCGAATTTGCCCTTGTAAGCCATAAGATAAACAAACATAAGAAACATAATTTGTATATTGGGATTTCAGAATTTATTCCTCGTTTATATTTGGCTTGTAAAGTTTAGTGGTTTCTTACCCTCTCTCTTGGGTAAACTCTTGTTCACTGATATTCTATTTTGGTCTTTACTTCAAGTTTTTTTTTAATGGCATAAGCCGGTAAACGAACAGACGGATCACCTGATGGTAAGCAATCGGCGTCGCCCATGGACACCTGGAACACCAGAGGCTTAACAAGTGCGTTACCGGCCTTTTGGGGATTTGGAGTTTGAGGATCGTTGGGGATTCAGGGATTGGGGATATTGGGGAAGGGGAGGGTAATTAGGCCTCCGGTAACCTCAACCTCTTTACTTCAAGTCAATTACTTATCGTCATAAGAAGGCGTATCTCGTCTTTAATTTCTTGGAGAAGTAGACAGAACTGCATTTCTTCAGTTAGCTACATTATGAGACTTAAGTAACAAAGAGTGAGTCTATTTGTCATACACATAAGGTTCAGATTCCATTCCAATACAAAGATATATTACATAGCATCACACCTTTTATCCCCGAAGTGGTAGGCAGATGTGCACATTACGGCACTTAATGTCACAGTACCACGTAAACAATATTTTGCACTATTTTATGTTATCAGTCCCATGTAGTAGGGGGTGAGCCTATTGCCATATATCGGGCACAATTCCAGACACCACTGAGAATTTTTAAAAAACCCAATACTGCTTTGCCCGTCCCGGGAATCGAACCCGAGACCCAGCAATCGCACTTGCGACCAATCGGCCAACGAGGCATACAGAGATTTATTACTTTCGCCGTATTTGCCAATTTAAAAGTAATTTCTTTGATAAATATTGACTTATCACCTCTTTGTTACATTGGATCAAAAGTTCAGTGTTAAGTTTCTTATCTTTTTATTTATGTTTAAAATCACGTAGTTCTGAGACAAGCTGGTGGGTTGTTTTATTTTTCATTCGTCCTCAGTTCGTAGTGGATTTTTCCGCTTGATGGTGACCAGTTACTTTAATGTCAAAGTCGAAGCATTTATTTCAATTAAACTATAAATTGGTAGTTTGAAAACGTCAAAAAATACAAAATAGATAATAGTCTGTCAGTCAGTCCGTCAGTGAAGCTAGGAGAAGCTAGGTGCTCATTCCAAAATATAGATTCGAATGGAGAAGAACGAGCAAGAATCTCCATTTGTTACTATTTTTAAAAAACGCATGTTATACAATGTGTCTGATACTCTTACTATCGGGAGGCATAATAGAGTTAATAATAACTCACGTAACGTCAATTGCTCGATGATGCTCGATTAGTTTCTAACCGCAACCGGGGTCCATAATCATGCCAAACATAATTGCTAAGTAAGCCATTTTTCTTAAGAAAGGGTTTGTCTTAATCTCCACGAGTAGCAGGTGGCTCAGGGATCACCATAGGAGTTTATGTCTGTGTGTAAAAATAATACCCTAAAATTCCTCTGGTTCGGTTCTTACAAAAGATATTTCTATCTACTCATAAAACAATTAGTAATGCTCGTAAAGTATTTGGAGGATGGATATTTACGGCGTCTGCGCATGGTGACGGTTTACTTAATGGTTGCGGTTAAATACCGTAACAACGTGGTTAGAATAACTTCTCAGGGTTATTATGATCCCTTTTCTACTGTTCTAATTCATTTTGGGAATACTAAAATTTTAAATGCAACTAGCAAATCAGTTGTCTGTACGACAGTTCAAAGTGACACCATATTCGAAAGTAGTACCATCAATAATAGCAGAGGCTCTGCTACTATGTCTGAGGTTTGGCGATAAACCAGTAAGATCTAAGGTACCATAGTGATAGTGTACCATAATAAAACGCGTGCTAGCATCTAAATCCGCGTCAATGAAACCCAAAAACCATAAACAAAAGTAACACATAACAAACATATTATCAGTTCGAATCCCACACAAGTTGTGGAGTCAATTGAGGAAACTGCTCATTAGAACGGTCGTAAGCAGCGAACTAGTAAATTACTACTATTTGAGCTATAAACTAACATTTAAGTACGGAATGCCTGTAAAGGCTCGTGTATACGAAACGCTGCGGCCGTTCTTTCACCGTACCGTCCGCCACGCCTATTCTGTGTATACATTCGTCACCGGGCCACCGCACCACCGTTGCTTGATTTTATTACATATTGCTATTGCAAAAAACGGCAGCTAGCTACACAATAGGGTAGATGCCTAATTTTTATTTAAATGTCCGTCTGGTAGATAATTTTAAAACATTAGACACGTATTTTTTATTTTCTCACAGAAACGAATACTTTCGACGATATATTGATTTGAAATGTCGCGTGTCGTCACTTCTATGTACATTTTTTACGTAGAAATGACGTTTTAGCTCCCACTCCTAATCTTTGATTCGTTTTATCTAACTGCCTCGTTGGCCGAGTGGTCGCAAGTGTGACTGCCGGGCAAGGGGTCTCGGGTTCGATTCCCGGGTCGGGCAAAGTATTACTGAGTTTTTAAAAATCTCAGTAGTAGCACGGAGCCTGGAACTATGCCTGGTATATGGCAATAGGCTCACCCCCTATTACATAGGACTCATAACATAAATAGTGAAAAGTGGGTATTACATTGTTAGTGCTGTAATGTGCACCTCTGCCTACCCCTGTGTTGATGTTATGTTATTGTTTTATTATACGACAAAATACATGTCTAATATTTTTTAATTACCTAACTTACGGACTAATTAGATTTTGAATTTTGATGCCCCATCATCATCCCTATTCTACAGTGGTATGGTAAAATCAAGCGGCGTGGACGCATCTTCGGCGCGGCGGTAGCGCCGTATACGCGAGGCCTAATATTTAAGTACAGACTGTCTGTAACGTTCAGCAGTCAGCTGTTCAGAACGGGGCTGGTAATACTCAGTTCAACTGTTTACATTGAACGGTTAGATGCGATACTTTGGTCGTAAATGGTCGTATATTTAGTTCCTTAGTTGTTGTCGGTGTATGACAGATTCTATTATGATGGAAGGTTTACATAAGACATGTGTCCTATCCATAGATTGAATAAAGTTTGTCTAACGAGTGCCTGCCTTATTTGATACCCCTTTGTACAACTGTAGGTACATGATGAAATACCTGGATACAAGTAGCATTCGACTGCAGAGGCCGATGTTGTCTGTTTACCTTGTGAGTGGACGTCCTGCTTTGTGCTCATATATTACTTTACAAATTGGCTACATCTACACTACTGTGAAATTTACTCAATGCCCTATTGTACTAGTAACTTACTAAGGCAATAAGCATCCATGCACTTTGTATAATTCGCTTGACCTCATCGTTTATCTAATTAGTCCCACTTGAGCATCGACGGATCAATTAGCTTGTAAAATTGCAAGTCAAATAGAGACCCTACTTAAGATCTGACCAGCTGTTTTAGTAATCTGGGGTGGGACCTAAATGGCCTGATTTCGGATTCAGATACGTGGTAGTCATGAACGTGCAAGTGCTTCAGAGGTATATTAGTAGTTTATAAGTTCTTATTATAACTTTCATAAGACACTAAAATAATTATATTTTTCGGCTTACTCCCGTAGCTGTTTGATGAGGAACT